ATATATATATATATGTGTGTATATATATATATATGTGTGTATATATATATATATGTGTGTGTGTATATATATATATATGTGTGTATATATATATATATATATGTGTGTATATATATATGTATATATATATATATGTGTGTATATATATATATGTGTATAAGTCTTCAGCAGACTACGTTGATGCAGCATGTGGGAGAAGTAGAGAGAAACTAAAGCAAGACAAGCTAACAAATGCTACAGAGAAGTGGAGACAAACTGCAGCCGGTTAGAATACACGGCGTTACAACGAGCACCAGCTGTTGCTCTCCCTGGAGATCGCTGCGGTCGACTCAGCAGACACTTACACGTTGGTGCACCTATATGCTGAAATTCACGGTAAACGCATTTAAACGGCAGAGATCGGGAGCGAGCGAAGGACTTTGAAAGTTAACGGAAAGATTAACGTGAGACAACATCCGGTTTCTTCAGACGAACATCAGTTTTCAGAATAAGATGCCAACAAAGTATGAATTATATTCACATTAAGTAGAAAACATGCTACCTGCATCTCGTGAGTTAAAGGGAAAATATACATATGATATAAGAATGATATAATATAAGAAATATGATCACTACTGTGTAAAGGGAATACTGCTGTTAAAAAGCACCTGATGTGTTTAAAGTGTTTGCAAACCAAATGTTATTGCCCTTTTGTTCATATAGCAGAACTTTTACAATAAAAGCGCGCAATACACTACTTTTGAATTAATTATTTAACTTTGCCATAACAATGAGATTAATCGCAAAAAATCCATGCGATTAATCGCGATTAAATATTTTAATCGCGATTAAATATTTTAATCGTTGCCCAGCACTAATATACGTATATACACATCTGTACGTATACTGCGTGTCGGCCGTTAGAACATGTCCTCGCTCATGGCTCCTTAGAGCAGAATTAAGAGCTTTGGGACGGCCATCAATAGCAGAACAACTTCCAGTTTAACCGAGGAGCGAGGACATGACCAATAAGAGACTTGAGATGTACCCACTCTCTCCTTACACATTGTCTTCTTCACTCCCGTCTTCCTGGTGTCATGGCTTTAATGCCAAACCTGAACAAGTCCTCGTCTAATCATTGAGAGGCGTTCACCTGACGAGGCAGAGCTGCTGACCATGAACGCCACACGGCCCATCTGTTCCATATGACATGAATGCAGCATCTGACCTGTTGCCAAGCAGCAGATGTAGTAATGAGCTGTGAAGCTTTGTGTTGTGAGGAAGCAGCTGCTGTCCTCACTGAATGTTCCATGTCTCATCCTCTTGGTGTGGTGAGGACCATTCAGTAGAACCACAGGAAGCAGCAGTTTGTGTAGCAGCAGCAGCTCGCAGTCATTCCTGTACATATTAATAGTTTACATCAGAGCTCTACTTCCATTTGATTTCTAGAACTTTCTGAATGTGAATAGAGACCAAACTCGTCTTGTATTTCCTGTGTATTTCTTCCTCTGTGGTGTTTCACGTGTGCCTGACATGTTGGTGTCTCCATACGTTGCTGCTGTGCTACAGTACCTGGAGCTCATTGGATCAGTTTCTACAGGAGAACATAAGGATTGCTGTTTCTCCAGAGGTCCCTCAGAGCGATGGTTGTGTTTACATCATGCTGATCTGTAGCTGATGTCTTTCCTGAGCCAAAGAGACGAACATACTCAGCCCGGTGTTTGATGCTGCAGCCATGAGAAGCCACCGATCAGGACAAGGACAAGGACAAGGACATCTTCTCAGTGCTTCTGAAACTATTTCACCACTCTGGGATTTGATGGATTCGCTTCTATCTTTGCAGCCACCGAGCAGTACACAAGACACACATGTCATTAAGAAGTGATTCAATGTTTGTTTCATTTAAAACATACATCATGTCAGCAGTGGACAGGAAACACTGGATCGCCTTTCATTTTGTAAAACTGTAGAAATTAAAGAGATGTTTGTGTTGACCATGACTCCCTGAACACAGCGTCTGTTCCACAGAGCCAGTAAGAACAGAGGTGGGCGGGGCTAAAGCGGTGAGTAACTCCATGACGTCAGCACGTGTTGATCCTGGAGCCACACAGAGCTCAACCAATCAAACCTGACATCTGACGTAGTGTCAGTGAACAGCAGTGATGGCGAGCTGAAGCTTCATGAAGCATTGAAGCTTTCCATCCAATTGGTTCACACATGGGTCAAAGCTTCATGGTGTTTCATCTGCTCTACTGCGCCATCAAGTGGACAATAAATGTGAAACAGGCAGGGTGATTAAAATGACACCATGGCTTTGGTGTGTGCAGCATTGAATTGAATAAATGAATGACGTTTGTGATGCCAATACATAACTTATGAACTTATTAATATGGTGTCTGTCTTCATGATACAATGGTGGGGTCAAAAGGGAAAGTGGAAACAAATTGGGTAGAGGGTTGTGATGTGAAAAGTAAAAAAAATGAAAAGTTAAAAATAGGATTTCTTATACATGTACGTAACTTGACGTCAACATGTGTAGTCAAGGATCGAACCGCCGACCTAGCGGTTACCGGACTACCCTCTACCTATTGACTCTACTTATCTGACTAGGGACAAAATGCAACACGTAAAACATTTCATTCATAAATAACTTCCACAGTGCTGCTTCAGGCGGTTTCTTTTTTTTTTTTTAGATTATTTCGCCTCTTTAGAAAACACCCTTTCACAGGGCACAGATGAAGCTGGGGTACAGAGAACAGTTTGCAAACAAATGCGCAATAAAGTCCGAAGTACACAAAATGTGACCGGGGATCCATTTCTTTTCGCTTCCCTAACAGGCGGTCCTGGGTCCGGGTCCGGACCCAGGACTTCAAACCGATAGATAATTGAGAAGTACATCTTGACGGAGCGCTTCTATTTTATTCCACATGAAGCTCTCCAAAGAGAGAGAAGTGTTCAGAGAGACCAGAGTCTTTAACCAAGAATGAACACTCTTATAGGTCCATTCTTCACACGGACAGTTTAAACCAGTGTGTCTCACATGTTCAGAGACCGTGATGATTATTAAAAGCAGTAAATGAAGCGACACTACGAGACAAAGCACAACTCTTTAGAGCAAACGTACCCACTCACATCTAAATGAAGACAGAAAATAAAGCTAAGAGCCTAGTATGATCAGAATCATAACGCATGAGTTCACTGTTCAACAATGATGTTAACAGAGAGAATAGAGCTAAACAAGTGTTAATAACCACACATAAAGTCCTGCTCACTGATTTATCTTGTTAGAAGACAAAAATATTATATTGTGGCTTTTTATTGACATCACTTCACACCTGAATGAACTGAATTTAAAGCTGCAGGACAACTCAGTGAAATACATTTTTCTAAAATTGTACTTTCTTTATTTGATTTGACAGTTGTTGACGACACAGAGACGTTACTACTACTAGGCTTCTTGAAAAATTATAATTTATATATATATATATATATATATATATATATATAGATAGATAGATAGATAGATAGATAGATAGATAGATAGATAGATA